TGTAAAACTTTAGATATGAAAACGCATTGATAGTGTGTGCCACGACAAAATAGTTGAAACTCCGAATTCACCAAGTGTGAAGTTGCGCTGGGGCTAATTAACGAAATCGGCGTATCGTTTGGGCCAATGTACACGCCTCCCAGCACGTGTAGAGGGTACTGGATCAGTGCTACTAGACGTGGCTCTTTTAGAAGGTTCAGGGTACGCGCGACTAAACGAGTCTGTTTGGGAGTCTGGCGGCAAGGGTTTTTCTAGTTGTGTCGGTGTAGAGGAAGGTGGGTCGTCCTCTATATAAGCTGCCTTCAAACGATCGACACTTATAGAATCCTGCCGTCCAGATCTGTCAATGACGAAAAACTTTTCTTTCTTACTGAGAACCTTGAAAGGTCCGTCGTATGGTGGCTGTAAGGGCTTACGTACACCGTCACAACGCACAAAGACGTGAGTGCAATCTTGGAGTCTTTTATCCAACTGCACCCGTCTACACTGTATCCGTGTGGATGGGGGTTGGAGGCGACGCATGTGTAACTTAAGAGTTTGAGCATAGCCATGGATATCGGTAGGAGTTGGGTCACTAATCTGAAGCGACCATCTCACCCGGCAAACGTAAGTTACTACCGTAAACTAACTCAGCAGGTGTACACTGTATATCGTCTTGAGTGTAGAACGGATGCTGAGAAGAACCAACGGCAGAGACTCAGTCCATTTCATATTGTCGACTGCCATTAGTGCGCTCTTAAGGTGTCGGTGGAATCGCTCCACCAAACCATTGGAAGCTGGATGATATGCGGTAGTGCGGATGCGTTTGCATCCCAACAGATTCATCAGCTTCTGGAAGGTAGCGGATTCGAACTGTTGGCCTCTGTCGGTTGTCACGGTGGAAGGGCATCCAAACTGTGAAACCCATCCTTCGACGAAACCCGACTTACTGTTTCGGCAGTAATGTTAGACAGTGGGATGGCTAACGGCCAGCGAGTAAACCTATCGACACATGTCAGTAGGTAACTATATCCATTGGAGGGTGGAAGTGGGCCGACAATGTCTAAGTGGACATGAGCGAATCGTGAGTCCGGTTTGGCGAAAGTTCCAAGTGGTGGGATGTTGTGACGATTCACCTTGGAACGTTGGCACTGAATACATGACCGTGTCCAGTTTCGAACATCACGGTTAATACCAGGCCAAACAAACCTAGCAGATATGAGTTTGTCAGTGGCACGGATGCCAGGATGTGAAAGATTGTGCAAAGCATCAAAAACATGCTTACGCAAGGGTAAAGGAACAACCGGTCTGGGTGTGCCTGTGGAGGTGTCGCACAATATTGACACTTCACTGTTCAGGAGCGGTAAACGCTGTATCTTCAGAGAGGATGAGTGTTGAAGTTTTTCAATCTCCTCGTCTGAATCCTGAAGTTCGGCAATCTTCCGTAAGTCGACTGCTCGAGGCAAAGTAGTGGTGCAAACGCGAGACAGTGCGTCCGCGACAGGGTTATTCGCACCAGAAATATGACGGATGTCCGACGTGAATTGCGAAATATAGTCTAGGTGACGTAATTCACGCGGTGAATATCTGTCAGTAGTGGTGTGTAAGGCATACGTCAGAGGTTTATGGTCGGTAAAGATGATGAAGTCACGACCTTCCACAAAATGACGAAAATGTTTCACTGAGGCATATATGGCGAGCAGTTCCCTGCCAAAAGTGCTGTACCGCATTTCGCAGGTGGATAACTTCCGGGAGAAGAATGCAACTGGGATCCAAGTGTGATCCGAAAGTTGTTGCAACACAGCTCCAATGGCCGTGTTAGAGGCGTCAACCGCAATGCTAAGAGGTAGGTTTACGTCTTGATGCACCAGCATCGTGGCGTCTGCTATTGCGGTTTTGATCTTGCGAAATGCTTCTAGTGCCTCCGGAGTCAAGCTGAAAGTTTTACACTTACTTTTCAGCAGGTCGGTCAGTGCAGTCAAAATGTGCGCACATTGGGGAACGAAGCGACGATAATAGCTCACCATACCCAGAAACACACGCAGAGCTTTAAGTGACCTGGGACTGGGAAGTCTTGGATCGCCTGTACCTTTTCAGGTAGTGGGCGAATGCCTTGCTCGTCGATAACGTGTCCCAAAAATTTTAGTGAACGAACGCCAATCTGGCATTTGGCCAGGTTGACTGTCATCGAATGCTCTGACAGTCTGGCGAAAACCTGTTTCAAGTGGTTAAAATGAGTGTCTTCGTCAGGACTAGCGATTAGTATGTCGTCTAGGTAGGCATAGGCGAAGTCGAGTCCACGTAAAACATCGTGAATAAAACGTTGGAAGGTTTGTGCTGCATTGCGAAGACCAAAAGGCATACGGAGGAACTCAAAAAGACCAAACGGTGTAATGACGGCTGTCTTGGGAACATCATCAGGATGAACCGGGATCTGATGATATGCACGCGTCAAGTCAAGCTTACTGAAGATAACCGAGCCTTTTAAAGATGCAGTCAAGTCGTGAATGTGAGGGACTGGGTAACGATCTGGAATCGTTTTAGCGTTGAGCCTTCGGTAGTCACCACAAGGCCTCCAGTCCATGCCATTGTTCTTGGGTACCACATGCAAGGGTGAAGACCATGGACTGTTGGATGGTCTGATTATTCCCATTTCAAGCATGTGTTCAAACTCGGCTTTTACAGCACGCAGTTTCTCCGGGGATAATCGCCGTGGTTTCGCAAACACTGGCTTAGAGGCATCTGGAGGGGACTGAATGATAGACGCGTAGGGACTAGAAGCGTCCGTCATGGAGTACACGGGACTGAGGGGCAGCGTCTTTGTGACTATACCGGAAACGGAGAGTGTTGTGGTAGAATCTATCAACTTATGCTCGCCAACATCTACCAGCAGCTGATAGTGCTGTAAGAGATCCATACCAATAATACCGGTGGTCACATCCGCCACTATGAAAACCCAACGAAAGGGACGACGCAATCCAAGGTTGAGGTCGAGGAATCTCCGACCATAGGTTGTGATGGGCGAACCGTTGGCTGCACGAAGTTGCAGAGACATTGGCCGCAGACGCTCTTCCTTCGTAGGTGGGATGACGCTAGCTTCTGCCCCAGTGTCAACTAGGAAGCGTATCCCAGAATGTCGATCAGTGACGAAGAAGAGGCGACATGGAAGTGGCTCGCCAGCGACGTTAGTCGCCGTCACGTGCTGGCTCACACGTTTCCCGCCTGGTTAGCCTCGAAGGTGCAAGGTCGAGTGCACCTTTTGGCATTGGCACCATAACGTTTATGGTACCAGCACAACCTGGGTTGGGATTGTCGCGATTTGGAACGTCTGCTACCGGTACGGGAGGCAGACCTGTTGCGCGAGCGAGACGTGCGACCGTTGGAAGCACTACCAGACCGCATTTCGTTCCTGATGCTGCACAACTCTTACAATTTCGAGATGTGAGCTATAACATCGAAACTTGTTGGCTCACAGCCGAGGGAGGATGTGGGTTTTTGGACGAATCCGTGGCAGTAGACAGTGCAGCTGAGATACTAGTGTTGGGTTTCGTAGCATCCACAGCTCTGTCAGCCGCTTCCGCCAACTCTATTAAGGGGCACTTATGGAAGGGTGCGAGGATCCCTTGAACCGACTGTGGTAACCTCTGTAACCACAGTTGCTTGAGAAATGCTTCATCAATGTTGAAGTCAGCAATCAGCTGCTTCATCTGACGAAGCAGTTGCGTCGGCTTGCGATCACCCAGATGCACATCCCTGAAAAGTTCTTGCACTTTCTGCTGGTCAGTAAGTGCAACACGTTTGATGAGGGCGGTTTTGAGGCGATCGTAAAGATTCGGTGCTGGGTCATCTAGCACATCTGAGACGTCTTCGATCACATTTTCCGGTAAGCTGACGATGACTAAGTTGGACTTAGTTTCTTGTGATTGAATGTGTCTCAAGGCAAACTGAGCTTCCACATGGGAGAACCATGCAGATGGTCTGTGGGCCCAGAAGGTGGGAAGCTGGAGGGTTACGGCCATCTGCGCAGTCGAGTCGTTATCCGCCATTGATCAGGGAATTAACGAGGCACGATAGTGATAATAAAAAAAATTACAATGCAAAAATAACCAATGAGGAGTGCAATAAAAAAAAAACGCTAGACCGTGCCAAAAACAAAAATAGGCCAGACAAATCAACGCAAGAGAACAAAGGTACTAGACAAAGTAAGAAGTGATACTCGGGCTCACCAATTTTGTAGGGATGCGTGTTACAATTCCGTAACGTTTGATCAACCCTACTTAATTTGATGTGCTCTAGTACCTGCTTAACCAGTACTTTACCTAACGTGTAAGTACTGATTACAAAACACAAATCAAAAGAACTGATACGCAATGTATTTAAAGGAGCTATGTATTTAATAGGGTAAATGTAATAATAATGAATGAGGGAAAAGTTTAATCAACTTATCTGGCTTGTAAGGCTGAACTAGGGACTCGGAGTACGTGCGTGGTGAACAGCACAATGGAGCGCAAAAATGGCGTCCAAGCCTGCTCGGATGCATGCTCGTTAAAACAAAACTTAAAACACCCTAAGCATCCGGAGGCAAGCTAGAGATTTATTTAGTTAATTTAATTTAAACTATTTATTTTAGCCTTAGTTATATTTTGGTGCCAGGATGGTGCATTATATGTTGATCCCCCCAACGGATGCTTGAAATACAAAAAATATGAGGAACAGTGGCGTCAGCTGGAGATCGGTAAGCAAGGCGCCTTAGTCCAAAAAACACAACTTCAAAAATGGAGCTCTGTCGTGACGAGCAGACTTCACAACTGCCTATTTGTCTGACTCGCTGACGTTTTTCTCAGGCATTTAGCTTACTGCGTTAGTTATTCCTTGTGAATTGTATATTTCAGTGATCTCATGTTACAGTAACTACAGAATATGTTGATAATGCTTGTTTTTTGCAACATATCAACAATTGAATTCGAATTTGTTCGAAATGTTAGTTGTTTTAATGTATGCTTCTCTACGTGTCAGCTCTCAGTTTCGCTATTGTTGTCCAAGATCCGGTTGCATATCATTGTCTTCGTACTCTGTGGGTTCTGTCGGGGGAAATGAATCTGGTAAGCGGCATAATTATTCATGATTCACGGTCTAGATAGTCACTGTAGTCTGTACAAAGCGTAGCCACTACCTTTAACATATTACAGTTAGGGACTTTAAAGTTAGTGTACTCTTCGTTAGGTTACATAGCCGAATTCCTGGATTGAGTTGGTCACTCGCTGAGTCTACTGAAAGAACATTTCAGTGTGGCATTAGTATAAGGATGAAGGAACTCAGTAGGATAGGTGGTTATACAAGATGCATTGTATAACATTGAGGGAGCATCTACGTCATCATATGGATAACTATTCCTTAGACTAATGCAGGTCACGCATTCCTATGTCGTCGTAGTAATTAGGTATTTCGGTGTTTAGGAAGCTTTAAGGGATATGTGGCCAGGTCACAGCACTAGCCAACGATACCACATTGCGTTGTACTGAACACAAAAGTAGTGGTGTGTGTCGGGCTGGTAGCTGAAGCTTTCACATCCTGTAATCCAGTGTTTGTATTTGTCTCGCACTTTGCACTCGGCTTACTTGGTGTGGTTTGGTGACGAGTGCCTTGGAGGTGACCAGCTTCCCCAACTGAGACTTCGTAGAATTTGACATCATGATGGCAAACCGCTTGCGGTTCCTTGACTTACAAAGGGGTCTGTCTACCCATTCTTTGGTAGCGATCCACAGCACAGATATTCCCAATCTTGAAGGTTTATGGGCACGTTACTTGGAAGTGATTCTCGCATTTAATAGGTTTTTGCAAAATGAAAACATGTCACTGATTTCAAGCATCAAGATTGGTTATTTGTCTACAGTAAAGTCAGGTTAATTCAGGATGTGGTGGTTATTTGCGTGTGCGCATAAGTCTTGAGTTTGTGTCAACCTAAGCGGTGACGAAAGTGCTTCGCATGCATGTTTTTATCAAGCATTTGACTTTAAATATGGTTGTTTTGTTAGAACAACTCCAAGCCTAATTTGATTGGAGTTGGTATGCACGGGCAAGGAAAACACATCTAGTTGGCTGGCCAAAGGAAGGCGGATGCCAGATAGCATCCTGTTTTTGTTTTGAGTCTAAAGGGGACGGTGCTAGTAATATGGATCTGACTTGTTACGGGTGGTTGTGCTAGACTTACGTCAACCCCCCCCCCCCCCGCTTAGTGTTAAAGTGAAAATCAGACGAGTTTGAATCTGCTGTCAGTTGTATTGTAAGTATTTGAAGTCTTCATCCTCCATGAAATGACAACTGTAATCTCTTAGTTTCATGGTACTAGTGAAGTAGGTTCACACGAATTCCTACATAAAGACAAGCAAACCCAGTTTTAGAAACAATAATGAACTGAATAATAGTAAGTGATAAGATTTCATGTCCAGCTATCGCTGAGTTGGTCTCATGGCCGGCTGATGAGTATCAAAAAGAGGTCAGTGCATATTTCTTGTCTTCACCTTTGCAAGGTTATTAGGTTCATTAAAGTGCCACCTAGAAAAGTCAGTCAAAGATTAAGGCCTTGTGGCATGTTCTGTCGCACTCATTGAGGTAGGGCTTATCTAGCTGTTTGACAAGTCAATTCACTTTAAGTTCAAGTTTTGGACTCAATCCTTTATTAGGTTTGAATGCCTAAGTTGGTAAACCGCTGTGCTTTTCTCATCCATCTGTTGTGGTTTAGGCAGTCAAGTTTGGTCTTGAGTAAGCTCTTAACTAAGTTGGATACCCTTTATCATTCTGCAAACCTTGCAGAAATGTGGACTGCTTGCATCTGTCATTGTGTGGCAGTTATCATTATGCAGTTGTTATGTACCGGTCTTCATTCATTCGAAAGTTTTGGAACTGATTCGCTGGAGTTAACGCTGTTCTGCAATGTAGTTTCTCGGTTCTGATCAACATGCTGATATTATCTGCGACTGAGGTTTTTTACGTTCTCGTTTTTCTTTAATCGGTATCTTTTAATTGTGCTCTTGTGATAGTTTATGTATGTATAGTATGTATTGCGTTAATAGTTGGCAGAGTCGATATCTAGTGTGATCTCTGCAATCAGATTCCAGCTGTTGCATGTTAGTTCATTTCCTATTTCGTTCTCCCCTTCCTGTGTATTATGAAACATATTGACTCTGACTGATGCATTGACGTTCACTTTCTTACTTAGTTTGATTGTATTCTCAAGTTCCCATTCCGTTATTTGATTGTTATGCACGCTCACTGTAGCTGTCAGAAACAAGTTTTGTTAGTCAACATGGATTGCATAGATTAGTCCTGTTTTGCTTTTAAATTTTATCGGGATTTTAGGAAGTTGTGGAAACTGGGTTTCGCACAAACTTGATCTTAACAACCTCATGATGAAGAAAAGGTCTGTGGGCAAAAAAAGCCTGAGAGCGTTTCATCTTCATATAGCAGGATCGGACATTGCTTGTGTATGCTTGCTGACTTCGCCATTATTTCTGACCTTTTACTTTATTCATATTTCACACTTTCTAATACAACCCTAATTGGTTGGATTCATATTAGGAGGTCAGTTTCACCAGTGTGTGGTCTCAGGCGATTTCTCCAGGACTACTGATTCTTCAACTTGAGGAGTCCTGCCAAGTATCAGGGCTTAGTGGCCAACTTTATGATGCAACTTGTAAATTAACAGCAACAGCGGCTCACCTTTTATTCGTTGTAGTTTTACTTAATACGTTTTAGTTGTTAACAAGGACATAGGTTAGTGCACAAACCGGTAAAATAGTGTTTCATAGATTCTGTTTATGAGTAAAGTGACGCGCATCTGCTTATTTTCCACTTTAATATGAGCATTATCTAAGGATTACTATCGCTTTTATACTGTAAGCTGTTTCAAGTTCTGCTACGCAGTAGGTTTACACTTAAGTTGTAAAATCGTTCGCCAACCGTAACACTTGTTTGGATGCGCATAACTAAATGTCTCTTCATGGACCCTGGCGGGTACGTTGAAATTTAGAAAGATGAATTCACTACCAATCTACTCAGTAGCATTATCTAATCTACTCACCCACAATGAACTGATGAAAAAGGGTATCCGTTCCTTGAATTATATAGTTAGTGTAATTGTCTAAACCAGACAAAATAGACAAAGGAATGCGTGTCTTCCAGTTATCTGTCAACCCAGCCAACAGGAAAATGGTACGTTTCTCAGAACCAAAGAACATGAAGTCGCGAAAAGGATTCGGGTTATCGGGGGGGGGAAGGTAGTTGAAAAAAGACACGCTTAACAACTGTAAGAGAAATCTGGCAGATAGCTGTTCCCTTTCACAAAGTCTGAAACCTCCGGCTTTCAACATCTTTGAGGTAAACTAAGCTGGTGACAATATTTGTACAGTTATTTAGGTAGGGGTCGCGATTCGATATTCTAGCAGTGGTGTCTTGTTCTGACATTTCAAACCGAACCTCTGAACGCAGTTGTATACAATAAATGCAATTTGCTATAGTTTAAGAAGCTGGTGATAATTTTGTTTCCTGTTTTCATTAGGTTTTCCCAGTATTAATGGGTTTAAAAACACAACTAAAGCTGTCTGAATTTCGTAATCACCTTCCAAGAGGTTTTCCCACGGTTTCCTTCCATCTTGGTTGTAAAGTGAGATTTCTAGGCAATTGCATTCAGCATACAAAACAATGTATTTACTCTTCTCTGTTTCATCGTAGCTGTGTTGACAGTCTTGACTGTTACAGTAGATAGATCGGGTTTGGGGACTTAGATAATATCCCACTCACTTTTGTTGTATATCATAGTTGTGGCAAGTGTATCAGCGCCAGTGAACATCATCCCAGAAATGTGTTGAGGCGTTGTATCAATCTATAATTGCTTTTATAGCTAGAATTATCTGATGTTTAGAGAGTTATTTAGGTTGTTACAAATAGGTCACACAAACTAAGTCTGGATCTGGTTTCAATTGTTCGTCTGCATCCTCCCGCCAACCAACCTCAGTGAACTATTTGTAAACGACTGAAAAGAGCCCCCCTTAAACTACTTTCGGAAGGGAAACCCTTCACTACCAGATTCTTCTAATAGTGAGGATCTGTCGAACTCAGTAGTTTGTTTGTGGGTCATCAGGTGTTTTTTGCTACTCATCTAAGTAGGTCTGCTTTACTGTCTCTCCCAAGAAATCTCAAACAATTTTCAGTTGTGAATGACGCTCCATCTCAACCCCTATTTCATAACTGAAGTGTTCGAAGTCTGAGTGATGCGGAAATATGTTGCCTATACAAAATCTACCCGTATATAAGAAATATTTGGGATCCAATGCGCCATTCTTTTTATTCATCCAGCGCAACTTTTAAGCACTTTATACTTGTTTTAGTAACTTTGTCGGTGCCATCAGTGAACTTCAAAAAATTTCTTTTACTTAGTTTGTCTAGTGTGTTCTGTTTGAGTGATTTCATAACTGCACCTATGCAGTGCTACCGGAAATAATCAATGTGACATTTTAGTAAAAGTAGTCCTCATGCTCAGATTAGTTTGGTGAATAGCAGCACAATCATTAGTTTTAACGCCTGAAATTTAGTTGTAGATAAATTCAATTGTGAAGTCTGCCTCTTCAATACTAGGTTTCTTTGACTTTCAAAATACAAACAGTGATGCTCATTGCAAGTAGAAAAAAACTGAGTTGTTGCTGTGCACGTTTGGCCCTCAGATAGGCCGTAGACTTCCATAGCTGTACATCACAAGACTACTCTACATGGGAGTCTGACGTTAGGACTTCAGCAGCAGTTGGTATTTTGTTCACCGAAGCTAGGTTACTATGCCAAACTAACTTCTAAGGAAGTAGTGATGGATGCCGCTGCTGCTCAAGTTTAGACTTGCAGGTGGGATAGTATTTGAGATGGCTTAAGTGTTTAGGGATTTTCACTTAAATCAGTAGATTGTGAGTACGAAGGACTAATCTATACAGCCAAATATTTGTTATCTAAAACCTGTTGTGTTTTGAAACATGTAACTATGTAAGATATTTTGCACATTATTGTATTTGCTTCAAATAAATATGTTCACTGTTTACTGCATTGATATCCACCAGTTTATTCAAAATTGATTCCCAATTGAGTTCGCTAAAACTTTTTTTCAGCTTTTAATCCTACCCAGTGTTCACTTCGGCCACCGAATATGGCTGGATTCATCCCGTCCATGACGAGTGGTTACTCTGGGTGTCGTATGTGAACTTCAAGAACTTGAATATTGTTGTTGTGTAACCGACTATATCAATATTTCGTTCTTAACTGTATATTTAAGAAATCTGTATTTCATTGTATTTATATTTTCTTTGAATTTTTCATCTTTCCTGAACTTGCCATATAAAGGTCTCTTTTTGCTATAGTCTTTATTTAACAAGCATTTTTAAGTAATTTCTCTTTGTACCGTTTCTGTGAAACCTAAGATAATTCGTGTGTGAAAAAATTGAACTGGTTGGTGTCACCTTTAAAAATCCAGTCTCCGGCAGCTGACTTTGATGCTTATTTCATTGTTTATTTTAGCAAACTTAGATCTTCAATGTTCCTCGTCACATAAACTCTTGAGTGTAAGAGAAGTGAAAACTCGTGCAGTCATGAAGTCTCGGAATAATCATCCGGATCAAATAGATGTTCTTATGCATTAAGTTATTTAGCTGAAGTGGTAACAGTGCAATTTGTCTCATGAGTGGAAATTTGTTGCTGGCAATCTGCCAAGAGAGGGTTTAATCGTTCTACAAGATGGTTGGGACAGCCACTGACTGGATTCTGTCGCAGTTAAGATTTACTCACTTTGCAGGCCACATAATCTGCTAAACACATGGGGATACTTGCCTTTTGACTGGATACAAAAACGGTAGTGACATGTGTTAGGACGAAAGCCATCATACATGGTTGTTTCATCGTATTAGTTCCTCGCACTGCAGTTCATCGACAATAAGTATTGACTGGAAATTCCTGGAAACATGTTCGTTGTGTATGTCCTATCCAAACCGGAGGCTGTTGCAGGTAGTTTAGGATTGAAGCGTTTTGTCCGATGGCTCTAACAAAGTATCGGTTATCTTTAGCAGTGAACCAAAACGGTGAATGTACTTCAAAGTTACCAAGTGTTTGCGCTACCTGTTTATCGCATGACTCCAAAGTATGTAGATATCTAACGAGAACGTGGAAGGGGTTCCCAAAGAAAACTGGGGTGCGAAGTACCTCAACCATCTTACCTCGTGCAGAATTTCCTCAAAAGATGGGAATAGGGGATTGATGTGGTATCTTTTGATTTTTCCAGCCTCAATAAGAATGTAAGCTTTAGGTCATGTAGAAAATTTCACAGCAAAGTGGTGCAACACATTCCCAAGTGAATCCTGATTAGGGCTAGCGCGTTGTGCTGTCTTCCAAAGTAGGTTGCAAGGTGCGTTCGCTTGTTGTGTTGTACAGTGAAGTGTTGACTGGTGGTGGACCCACTATAAAACCGACAAGGCTTATGTGAATCACTCATTTTGGTTATCAGTATAGCTGCGTATCTGACGGTAGTTTAAACCTTCGTCAGGCATCCAAATTGTTAGGGTGCTGAGATTTTCAGTATCTTGAGCCGAAAAATGCCAACCTTGTAAGGTTAATTCTCTGAATACTGATGTCTCACCAGTGTTGGGTCGCAGGGTTTGAAATAGATGTGATTTCAGGGTATATCAACCTTCGATAGCAATTCTTCCGAGACACGACTGCTTATGCAACTTCTCAAGGATAAAGATCGCCGACTACCATGCTTCAAGTCCCCCGCCACGTATTCAAATACCTCTTGCGTGCACTGGGTATTCACCATCTATTTGAGCAGTCAGACATATCTTCTGGTGAGGTCATGACGTCCTACATAGTGTTGATTGAATAATTTACTGTGGCATGTAGGTCCCACAAAGAAGACAAACAATTTCAGAAAACCACATGATTATGCACATCAGATTGTATGCAAAAATTCCAATTAGTTGCGGCCGTCTACGATCATACGATTGACGAACGCCACCTCTGTGCTGTGAGGTTGAGCCACACAGGAAATATTAACATAACCTGATGCGTATCGAGATGCACCACAGCTTCTTACAGTCCCTGTGCTGTGTGCAGTCCATAGGATGATGAGAGTATATGCTTCTGTTTACAAGTGCTTAACACTTGGAACTGTTGGTGGGTTTTTCTTACTTTAAGCACTTTTAGGAATGGCTATGTTTAGCACAGAACACTAGTTTTGCGGTCATCCTAAAAAGGCCCCAAAAGTGTTTGGGTCCTCTTGTTGCATCACAGCGTTGTTGAGGAAGAACTAACTGGTTTTGTTTGCTATAGTAGCTGAAGTTTGTTTGGTTATGTTCTCGTTAGGACCTGTCCACATTGTCACATACTTGTGAGTAGACCTATCTGGTTTTGTGACTCAATTTTTGTCATCCGATGCAACTATGTAGATTGGTATGTCCGGATGAGCACTTCTGGTCAATCGCTGGAGCACAAGCTCCCTCGGATGCTAATCAGCTTCAGTTGTCAACTTTAAGGTGTGCAACCAGCTTTTTGTACGTTTGGGCGTTTATCACTTCGAAAATTTTTTTGCTCTTCTTTATAGGTAGTCGCAGAGCCAACAAGACTGCTCGATGCGTATCGAGAGCATCTGACAGATTCTGGTGGGATTATGCAACAGTCAGTTTCTGCACTAGTGGATTTGATGTCTTCTGCCAACCGCAAACTAGTTCCAAAGTGCATTTCCCTATGTATTATTGCTTCATCAACACCGGAAATCCAACTGCAGTTGTGTGAAGATGGTGCTTGGGACATTCTACTCAAATGGCTCCAAGAAGCTCTCAAGGAAGACAACTACGCTTTTCTGTTAGAGCTTTTGAAAGTGTATCTGCTCTTACCTGTTCGGTTAGAGCATCTGACACAAAACGTTTGTCCTAAACTTATAAACTCTCTCACGAAGCGTTGCGACCATGAGGGTAAGATGCTCGCATTTATAATCTGCTTCCTTGTTACAGAAGTCAAAGCTGTGGCTGTTGATATTGTGAAGAAATGGAAGGGAGTGATAAGCTCGGACTCTCGTCGACTGGACTGTAGGTCGAATGATGTTACTTAGTAAACTTTCAGCCACTCATGTAAAAAGAAAGAAATTGGAACCTGATACAAAAACCCTGGACAAAGAAGCGCATATACATGAACCGATAAAAGATGAAAAGAAGCGACGCACTACTGTCAAGATTCTTCCCAATAATATGCGAACTGCGGGGATAGAGGATAACACAGCTCAAGGCCAACCTAAGTCTAGATCAGATATACTTGCAAAGAAGAGGTATGTTTTTCTGACAAATTTTATGCTTCTTAGCAAAATTGATCACGACATTGGTTCAACCTCAGAACTTCCTATTGAAAGTTTTCATCAGAAAATTACTGTTACTCCAACTGAACCACGCAAAGGTTTCTACAATAATTGTCAAACATTAAACAAAATTTTGTAGAACTACATGAGAGTTCGGATTTCATTAACGCATTAACCACATCTCCATGTCCTGTTATGCGTAAAAAAAAGAAAATTTCTCTGAAGACTGAACCAGCCATATCATCTGACCTTTCTATAGTATGTTTCCTTTCTGTTACCCTGACAACCTGTAGAACAAGGAAGAAAATTCAATGGAACTGTCAGACCAAAGTTGTATGGCTGAATCTTCTCCAGGTTCACCTAAGGGAATGGGTTCTAGAAAATCTTCGTTGTCTAACATATATTCGACATTCCCAACAGATAGCAAACCCAAAAAACGAGTTTCCTGGGCTGATGAGGATAAATTGCAGTCTTTCTATTACTTTGAACTAGATGAATCAGAAAGAGGTAAATTTATATGAATTTTTGGACGCACTTATTTGCCTGTGACCTATTGTATCTTGATTCTAACCGTTTTTTGTTGTATAAATCACGTTTTATACAGTAAATGTGAATCGCGTGTCCATTGAGGACATCCGTCGAAGGGAGCACTCCATGGAACGCCAGCTTTTCAAACGTTCGCATGAAGATTCTGAGGTTTATTCTCAAAAGGTAAGTTAAATTCAATTTAGACCAAAGCGGTGTCAGCTGTGATTCTCTGAAACCGCCGATACCGTGTAGTTTTTATAGCTTGATATCCTGAATTATTTGATGCATTTTTTACAGGTTTAAAATGTTTCTCAAAGTCTTTCACTTTAGACATTTATAGATTACTAGGTTTTACTTCTAAGGTCTGTTTTGACATGAAAATTACTTATAAGATGTGTATATTGATGTTATTCGAATAAATAATTTGAATAAATAGTTGACTTCTTTGTCCAATCATGGTGGGTTGGGTAAAGCAGTCTCTGAAACAAAGGTTAATTACTAAAACTGTTTTGTTGTTTACTGAGAAGGTAAATACCGTCAGAATTCCCGACTAGCATGCAGTTCTCCGTATAAGAGCTTTTTGGATACACGAATACAGTATGACTTAGCCAAGAAGCAATATTTTATTAAGTGAAGCTCTCAATTAGGAAAATTTGAATGTTTAGTTGTACACTGGGGAAATTCACGAAGTGTTTTCTTTGATACTTAGTGTTCTACAATTTAGTTTCAGAAAAATAATTGAATGACTTGGGCGGTTCGCACTCATCTCAAACTGTTATTAGTATTAATACTATCGACAGGATGTTCTAAGATATGTAGTTATGACGGATTTCCCGTTATAGTTTTCAAATCTTGGTCAGCTTCACAATGTTAGTCTTAAACCTATGCAACAGACGATTCCGTTGTGTGCGTTCTGTCCCACCTCTAATTCTTTGTTAGGTATTCATCACATAGATTTTTTATGAGGTCGAGTGTCATCTAGTTATGGCATTGGAGGATCAAGAAAGGTTAAGGTAGTTATAGATCTTACCACTTTTACATTTCTAGCCGACTTTCAGTCTTCGCTCCAGCTTATCTGAATGTTAGCTTACCTAAAGGCTTTGCGGAAGTATTATTGTCATTAGAGGAAAAAAGGTGGCTGAAATGTGGAGTACAAGCCATTTTGACAGGACTCTGCGCGGTCTGTAATTGCTTTTTTCCGATGGCAACCCAAAACCATTGGTCATGTCTATCCATACCAAAGCTATTTTTCTCAACGAGAGCTCATTACTCTAACATGTATGGTCTTTTCAAACATAGAGTAAAGTTATCTTACATGCTCTTGGTATAAGGTGAATTGCAGTCTGATCTATATGACTGGTTTTCCCGCCCTCACTGTCCAACAAAATGACCATCGCCAAAGCGTACAGTCAACACTTGTATTCTGATGGCGAATTATCAAGGTAATGTTTAGTAGTAGTCATCTTCAGGGTTTGACTGGGACACTTTCTAAGCATCTACACAAACAAGATTCAGGGAGTTCTTCTGAAAATGTTGGTTGATTGATTCAATTTAGCCGTAGGCAAGTGTCACAACATCATGACAAAAGACTACTGGTCATTTTATGTTACAAAGGAACCTCACGCGAAGTTGACATCGAAAATATAATGTCTGCATTCGCTAGGATATTTGTGTAACTACGATCGGGTGTGAATATGGTATAAGGATATATTAGGACATGATTAAGGTCAATATCATCTCAAATATAAGCTAATTATGGTCAAGTGTGGGGGGGGGGATCCGGACTTTTTCACGTTAGGCTGCGTTCGGCTTAGACTTGTGGTATGCTTTCTCATTACTTTCTACAAGCTGCTGTTTAAGTGAATGGCTAGTCTCCTCCATACTTTGTTGAAGGGAACCAACGTAGGTGTATGTCGTTCAGAACTATGGTAGTCCGTGACTGACAAAATCATTATATATATGTATATATGCTTATCTGCGCGATTTATTCGCCCTAAGATTTGTATCGATATAGGATCTTGCAACTTGACGCCAAACCTGCCTAAAGACTGGCTTATGAGTCATTTGTCGCTAAACTTTAAGATATTAGATGTTACCCACATACAGAAAGGCCAGTCGAGGTTTGAACCATTTGTTTCTAAAAGCGCTTTGGTTAGTGGTCCAGATGATCAAACCTTTCTTTGTCATCAGCAGCCTAATTACTGCTATGTGGAAATGCTTGGACTTGTTATATGCGATAAAAAGTTTGGGCTTCAAGGTATCTGTTTCTTTATTATTCAACAGAAGCTAGGTGTTGATTATCGACGAACAATTCAAAATGATTTCTAGCCCGGGATTTTGTGTTCTGCGGATAGTCAAAGCCTGATAGACCACATCATAACTAAACACTTTCATAGCTGGACAGCTGAACCTAACAAAACTTTGATGACTAGTGCCTTGTTGCACAACATGTTCTGAAGGTGTTTGCTTATCAGCAATTTGCGCCTTACATTTGTGTCATGACAAACGTCTTCATTATTTTCCTGAAGAAATGACCGAGACCAATTTTCTGTGCGAAACGTTTTGGATTAGTGAAATTCAAATCCTGGGTTACATATATTTGTAAAGTTATCCAGTGAAATCTTGATCAAATTGCATATAAGATGCTTCAAAGCTGTTTATGTAACTGAAACCCTGGGTACTGTAGGGAATTTGCTTCCTTGTTTCCTCGTTTCAGTTCGCGAATTTCACATTCATGTGAAGAGCACTAACTGTAAAATACTTTTCAAATGTTATGCTATCAAAGTAGTTAGTGCGTGTCAATGATTCCACTGTTCGCCAGCTTAGCATTGTAACCGGTTGACGCTTTTCGTAATCTTACGGTTTCCTGCAGTAGTTAGTTCTTTTGAGCTATGCATTTTACTGATTTCATAAAACTCCAGTTTTTTAGTATACAGTGGTTAGAGTTATATAGTCATACTCTCATTTTCATTTCCTATAACAGTGGCATCCGCCTTGTCAATTGGAGCGTCTTTTCTTGGTCGAACCAGGTTGTAAATCTGTTGAACGTCAAATTCAGTTGGAACGAGAACGCTGTGTTCTGCAAGCGATCTATTTCACACGTGAAAGCATTCCATATAGTCCTGACGAACCTGATATGGAGGTGGTGGAGCATGTTCCCCCACTTGATATACCTCTGGATGATGTAAGTTGATTCTGCTGACGGTTGTGAACCGTAATTTCTATGAGTTGGAGCGGTGTGCTGTTAAGTAAATGCTATCCAGTTATGTAGGCTTTCGAATCAATGCCTGGAAGTCACTTTGTTCATATTGGTTCTCTGCTTTGTAATGACTTACTTTCCAGTCGCATCGGTAGTAAACATTTTGTTGATATTACTAAAACATAGACTTTGTAAACCCAAGTTCCAGCTACATGGAACAGTGATTTCAGCTACCTATCGTTTTGGGAATATCTCTGTACACTGGAGATGTCTCAGCAAAAGTAAGAAGTATTCAGCGAAATAAAAGTCAGCCTTATACTTTTTGTGAGCAGTAGCAGTTTACATATTGAGGTGACTTCCAATTTTTCCTTTTTCGAGTGTTTGTCTTTCTATGCCCTAAACTTTCTGTTTGAACTTACCTTTTTGTTCAGTTTAAACACGCATTCTTATCCTTTTTCTTACTGAGTTTTGAATTGGAACCGTAATATCTCTGAAACATCACAGCCGTATATGAATTGCTTCGTTCTGGAATTTTTTCTATATACGCTTGAGCATTATGATTTGGAAGTTGAATTACTATTCTATCAATTTTCAAATTATTGGTTTGAACACCACCTACTGAGCTTTAGGCAGCCACGGAATATCATTAACCTTCACATTAGATGTGATTCACTGTCTACTGCATGAATATAGACAGGGTTGCATAGAGTGTTTCAGATATCTTAAATCTTTTTCGCTTATCAATAAAGATAACCTTGTTCTCTTTCCCAGTCTACTGAATTCTGAATTTATTCGTCATGTATTGTAATAAGCACATCCTATTGATAACTATACGCCATCACTACCTATGCTCCACATCTTATATAAATCGCGTCGATGGATTTATGTTCAGGTCAGACATGTGGTGACAACCTTAGTTCTTCTACACACTGCTGTATGGTAGGTGTAGCATCTCTTAGAATCTTTACTTACTGCCTTACGCAAAGTTCTTGAAGTAGGTGTCATATGAAACGTGAAGTTATTTTTGTCTTCAAAAAACTGATTGCAATTTTTTATGCAGTTCCATTTTATGTCTTCCTCTACTCATTTTTCTGCAAAGTTTTTCTGGGGACTTAGTTCCAAATGCGATATCAGTACACAACCAAAAACAATGGGTTTTACTGAAGGTTAAGTTAGCAGTATTAGTTCCCACTGAAGTCGTGAAAGCAATTTCACAAATGTGCTGTAGAATTGCCTAAATTAACGGAGTTCTCTATATTTCAGAACCATCTCTGCGTAACGCATCCTTCTGCAAGAATGAGTGCGAGTATTTCTTGAAGAAGTAGTATTTTTGAGAGAGTAGTAAAATGGTTCTTAGGCTATCTCCCTGATTCATACAGCCTCTTAGTTCCCATTCAAAAAGTTATACTCAGATGCTTATGCAACACGTTAAAAAATATGAGTATTTTTAGGTGGTGTTTCGTACGGTATGCAGTTTATTATTGGAAGGTAAGCGACAAACCTTATTCCCATCGTTGTATTCAAATTTTGAATTCCTTGGAATATGAGTAGTACACTTATACTAGTTGAATCTACAAAGTGTCTTTTTCCGTTATTACTGAAGTCTGCAGAGGTTTCGTTTTTGACGCTTACAATCTTGGAATTCATACGAATTGTGGCAGGACTTTGAGCAACTGTGGTTTAAACATTGCGTTGTTGTTGAGCCCTTTTCTCATGTTCTATGCTACATCACCTTGAAAGACTTCATATTGTCTTCCATCCTTATACTTGCTTCAAACATAAGCTGTCAAATTTCAAAAGATTCAGTCAACCTCCATCGCTCTGGATTAATAAGTAGTTGTCTTTGCAGCATTTTCATTCTACATAAGACGTCACAGGTATCTAGGATTTACACATGCTCTTCAATGCTTAACTTTTGTACCTTGATGGTAACGAGACCACATATACGTTTATTCAGGACACTACATCAAAGGTTCGAATGTACACTCTCGAACAGGTGTACTATGTGCTTCTGTGGCTGCTCAATGAGATTGACTTTTTTACTACTGATAACTTCACTACAAGTAGTTTATGTGAATCACTAGTAACCTCCGTCAATATATTACTGGACCGAAAAGTTGGACTGGGCCACAAAATTGCTAGCAAAAAAAATGGTTCTTGTATTATTTCATTCAAAATTCATGCAAACTATGCTTGCTGCCTTACTTTAGTACCACTTTACTCCAGTATCATTCATAGATCATAATTATTAATGAAGAAACGAAGGTTGAAAATGCGAACCAGAAAGTGTCAAAATTGGCATCTTTGTTTCGCCAATGATAGGAATAATTATGTGAAATCTTTTTTTCAAATTATTTGGCTAGTTTTCTTAGTCATATCACTGGTTTTGTTATGGCCCCATTACTTTTTAAGATCTTTTTATTGATTTCGGGTTGGTATTCGTCGTGGACTGGCATCAGTTATAGAAACATTGAAAACCTGGGAGGACTAGGCATATGTTTTGTCCTAGCATGGGACTTATCAGTGGGCACTCATGACCTCACCAGAGGTCGGTCCCAGGAACTTCAGGTTGCACGGCCAGCGCCATTGGTCCATATTTCCTACTTCTTTCAGTTCACAATATGGCACGACCTCCATCCATTGCGGTCGAGTATCCTTGCTGGGACCATGAGTGCGCACTGCTAAAGAGTCTCATACTAAAACTAAACAGCTCCCAGGTTCCCAATGTTTCTGCTACTAATGTCAATCCACAATGAATGCTAATCTGAAATCAATACATAAGTTTAAAAGCCATTTGAGTGAAGAAAGAATATTCTTTTTTTTCCCTTCATGTTCAACAGTCATATGTACATATTGTCATATGTCAGAAATATTACATAAGCCTTAAAATCATTTAGATAGTTAATTATTTTGAATTGAATCTTAGTAACACTTAATTCTATCATAAACGTTCACATGCGTCTTTTCTCAACTGATTTTCTGAACTGCATAATTTTTAATTAGAAACTGATAAGCGAAATCTCTATATTGCTTACGCATAATTCCTTCATATGTACGTACAACTGTAGAACCTAAAAACAAAAGTGCCGAAAAGAATATTCTTTATTCACTCCAATGGATTTTGAATTGTAATGGGAATTTTTAATGACTTCAATAAATAAATCTCCACAAGCCTTCAAAATGAACATCTTTTGATGTTCATTTTGCGGCAAGTCTTTAATGCAAAGTAAAATCATAATTATTACGCAGATTATTCACAGAATACAATTTCAAAGTTCATTTTATTGCACACACAAAAGTGCCCTTCATGCAGATGAGACGTTAGGAAACCAGTCCTACTAACACGCAGTTCATACTCTTGTTTTTCATTCTTACCAGTCATTTACTTTTGAACATTTTGAATTGTTCAGCAGACGTTTGTCTATTGTCATTCTAACTGATTTAAATAAAGTTTGTCTGATGAAGTGAAGAAAATGCTTGCCTGAATTTATGACAGCCGAGTGCTAGATCAATTTTATATGTAGAGAAAGATTTTGAAAAGACTAGAAAGTGTTTAAGGAGTGAAATATTACCTGATTGTTAAAAATTGCTTTGTCTTGCTAAATCATTGTTGAAAATTGACATCAAATCGAAGGATCATAGCAGTACTCTAGTAATCTTAAACGCACGTTGAACTAACGAAATAGTGTGGTTTGCGTAAAGGAAACTTGGGTATTTACTTTTTTTAAGCGAATAATTACAACTTTGGTGATATATTTATAGTTTCAAGAAGTACCTGTCTATAAAAAAATTCTCTTACCATGTAAATGGTTACCCGAGTTGCAACTGATTTTGAACTAATTGATAAGGAACCTGTCAATCAATGGTTAAAATCATTTTGAGGTGTTTCGTCAGAGTGGTTTTCTGATTTATTTGTCTCTCCCGAAATATATACGTAAACTAGGAACGAACAACAAATGGATTGAGATCACTGTAACTTTCAACGTATATACATTTGATTAAACAATGAGCATAACTTTACATGAATGGTATACGAGAAGGTGAATTATCGCAGTTTTTTTCATTCATATCTGGATAATCCTTGAATTATATTCACCTAAGTGGCAAGCAATGGGATCCAGGACGCGCGTTTCGTTTTGTTTGGGACTCTTCGGCTGGATGTGTCCGTTCCCTCTGAGACTCGAATCCAGCACCCATCGATTCACATGCCAAGGCGTTATTCACTCGGCTACTGGCTCACGATAGCCACCTTTTGTACAACGAGTATCAGTTGTTTTGATACTTGTTGCTGTTGCTGTACAGGGTCGAGTTGCTCAATCTCTGTTGGCAGATTGGCTCCTATGGGGATGGCTCATCAGTCACTGGGGTGCAAGTATACGCAGCTGACGAGTCCAAAATAGGACGTAACGAGCATCCTGGGTTCCACTGCTAATCACCAATATAAATTTAACACTGTAAATATTCAGCAGCATCGAGATATCTGCATGGGAATGCACCTGCCAACAGTCGTCAGACAATTCGATCCTGTATAGTTAGCAGCGGGAAATTGCTAGTAGCAAAAAAATCCTTGAATTAGTTCCATGAAAAAGATTAAAGGTACAACCAATGAGCTTTTTACTAACTTTCTGGTGGCTAAAAATACTATCAACAACCGATTTTATTTGTCTTTTTTGGTCAGTACTGTATTATCATGAAAATATTTATTATTGTAGTTATTCATACAATACGATTGTTTCTGAGTTAGTTAAGATTGTATGAAGTAGTGAAGTTGCCTATCTTTGTGAATTCATCTTATAAGAAGAAACAAATGAATTAAATGGGTCATTTTTTTTCAGCTCACAATTTACGAGTCAACTGACAGAAATCCACATATCGATTCAGAAAAGTTACTTGTTAAAGATTCCATGGGAAATTCACAGGTGAGTTTTTTTCTCCGTTCTTTTTACTATTCACTCTCTGTGCAGATTTTCGATATAAATCTGAATCATTTGGTTATTTTTGAACTAGTATGCATTTATTTAAGAAACGTCAGACTGAAAGAAATCAAAATAGTACATACGATTTGTTATTCCTTTTGTGGCACTTTTAGTCATAATTCATTATCATATTGTCGTGTACTGTTTCGTTTAGACCTTAGTTGCAGCTGAGAATGTTGATTCTCTTGATGAGGTCTCTTCCATTCACCCTTATAAGTTGTTCAACAACTCACTGTAAAATAACAATTGATGCTGTTGAAGCATTTGTGTTTTACCTTCCACTGTGCCTATGATCGTTAATTGTCAGCACATGCACTCATATTGATATTAAAACAGTGAATTAAATTGGCGAAATGTAAACTTATCAGGAAGCTGCACGATGACTGAAATCAGTATTAGTTTGCAAAATTAACTATGATTCTTCAGAAAGCCAATGATTTAAAATTTGAAGAACCAAATATCAAACGTTCAGTTGAGAAAATTTGTGTGCCGTTTCGATGACTATCATATCACTAAAGTAACTGTTTGCTATTGTGTACATATGATGTCAGTTGAATAAGAATTGTACTTAATTACTGTTATCTGGCCCGACTGAACATCTACAGCGCAACATAATGATATATTTTAGTGTATTTCATGCAGTAAAACTAATTGTTTATTATCATACTGCTTTAATTTCGTTTTAGATGTCTTTAAATCCTGAGGTTGCTAACCTGGTGAAGTCTTTGGCAGCCAATCTAACCAGTTCTCCTTCTGATGTGGTACAACAAATCTCGCCACACACGAGTTTTAATGTCGGTACTACATCTTCCTCTGAATTCCCTTCGCAATCAAATACGTCTCTTCCTGTTCCTAATGGGTCTGCGCTAAATATAACTAGTCCAAACTCTGAGTCAATTCGGGGGACTGACGCCAATTCTCCTATTGATCAGACACTTCAAAAAGAGCTGTGGGAAGTCTTAGAAAGGAACTACCCAGATATTAACGTCCATGATCTGAGCGCTGAACGTATTCGGGACCTTCTTGAACCGTTGCGAGACCAACTTGTGGCACGAGGCATATTTCAGTTCCGCAACCCATGCCCACCACAAGCACCTTTTCAGTATTCTGACTCTCCATTGGATCCCCCTGTACCTCGTCAATCGTTTCGCCCTCCCTTTCACCCTCCTTCACATATACCTAATCCTATTCCTAGATCTGACTTCATACCTCCACCCCATGGTCCGAGATTATGTCCTAATCCTCCTGGTTTCGGACCAGTGAATCGAAATCTCGGTAGACCTCCATTCCAATCATTAAGTCCCACATTACCCCAGTATACATCAAATTCGATACCACAATATAATGGTCCTCCTCCTCCTCCACTTCCTTCTCGTGCGCCACCTTTCCCTCGTGGAAATTCGCGTGCTAGGAATGGTCAACCGTGCAAGTTTTTTCAACAGGGTGGTTGTCGTAATGGTCAGTCGTGCAACTTTATGCATTCTCGGTAGAAGATTCCCTTATTTACTCCTTTTTGTCCATAATTCTGTATAGCATTGCTTAAAATGTGATTCATGCATTTGGCTTTCAAAATTATCTGAGGTTAACACCTACTACACCTACTTAACAGTTTGTAAATAAAACGCTGAAAGTTTTGTACAGTTCCTTTTGAAACAGAATATTTATTTTGCAAAGTTCATTAGTTTTACTATCAATAAAAGAACGGAATTCACTAAGCAATTTAGCTATTTTTTTATAAGTGGAATTCATTTTCTCCGTTTTCATTTATATAGCATAGCGGTCCTGTTGATCGCATATATCTCATTAGCTTCATTTGGATTTGCTTTTCAGCTGACTTCAAAAACACCTTAATTCAAAGGTCATTTTAATGCATTGCAAGCTTTATTTACTTTTCTTATTCCAATCTGATTCATCTTCGTGATTGCCAACTCGAGTAACTTATTGTCTTAAACATCATTGTTTTTATCTTTTCTGTAAGTAGCTTTGACTTACAAACAAGGTTAACTTCTACTCGTTTTTCGACGGAAAACAGTGTTATTCGTCCAGCATGAGGTTCTGTATGTTGACCCATTATCATGCCCATTGGTTAATGGGTATCGGTAAATGCCTGGAACAAGACAATCGATTGTTAAATGGTCCATTGAATGTTTTTTTCATTTCTTTCACTCCTTAGTTTTCACCAGAAAACAGCAATGCATGGATTACTGCTGTTTTCCGCGTACATCTACGATTTCACTCTAAACAGCAAACATTGTAGATATAATGAACCTTAGGAAAATAGTTTTTAGTCAACTATGAAGTGCAGGTTACTATGACAGTACGTAAAAGTAGTAAGGCAGAAGCATTGGGTTATTCATTACGGCAATTATATCATTCCATCATAAATCTCAGATTTTTTGATGACTGGAAATGTATTCTGAAGTTTTGAACGCAGTATTCAGTGTCCAACCCGCCTGAAACAAAATACGCTTTCTCCTCCTAAAGTATATTTTATACTCATTACCTACTATTCACTTGAAACTACCTTATTCCTACTATGTTGTTCATCCCGATGACTAGGAGGCATACTAACTTAGCCTCCGAAAATAAAGTCACTTTATCAAAACGGCTAACTTATAAAAAAGACTTCAGGTTGGTATCCATCATGGACTGACATTAATTGAAGGAAGATTGGAAACCTGGGAGCACTAACCAACTGTTTCATCCTAGTATGAGACCCCTCAGTAGTGTGCACGCATGACTCCACCAAGGACCGAACCCAGGACTTCAGGATCCGTGGCGAGCACGTTACCATCGAGCCACTAATTCGGGATCCAGTGGTACATATTCCCTACTTCTCTCAGTCCACGATATAGCACGACCTCCATTCAAGGCCGTCGCTGAGTAACTGTCCTCATGTTCGACTTGGTTGACCTTACCGGCTTCTCACTGGAACTTCAGAAACAGCTGTCCAGTGCTCTCAGAATTCCATTGTTTCTCCAACTGATGTCAGTCCACAATAAATTTAACCCTGAAATCATTAAGTCCCCACAAACCTCCCAATTAAATTAAAAAAGATGTTCGTTGCATACTCACTGACTCAACTGTACTAACTGGTTATTCTCATCTCTTGAAAGTGAATGTCAAAACAGTTTGTTTCATGTTCCTCAACAAGTTCATCTGGCATTGACACACAAATGTAACCAGATTCAAAAGTCTAATTTCAGTGAGTTTCGTAAATTTCTGTTTACCGTTTTCTGTTCAATGGCATGTAGAGACCACTCAAATAAATCTGAAATATAGACTTCATCTTTTACAATCAGGTATCTAAGTCGTTGAATTCCATCTCCTCTTTTATTCCTAGCCTTTTTCATTTCATGGATCGTAAATCAAGTCTCGTTAATTCCATTTTCTTATTAATTAGCTATCATTGTGTCTTATCTTATCAAAGTGTTCATAAGGCTTCGGTTATATGGTGTTTCTTCAAACTGTTTGAATACAATAAGAAATACTACCTCCAGAGTCCGACTGTTTATAAATAATAATTTCGTATAGAGTATTCTGAAAACAGTTCTCAAATTATAGCGTTGTGTGTGGGTAGGTTGACGAAATGTTCCATCAAATATTTGTTATTATTCAATTCATTTTGAGCAGGTCGATTGATTCACTTATTTACAAAGTCTAACCAGTTCGATTGGGTTTTGTAGGGCCATGGTATCCTCACACAGACATCTATTTTCACTGGCTTGCACTACATTTAGCCCCTGTAAAACCATCCAAAGAACTATGAAGGACCTAGTGGACTGTACAATGTTCCACTATGTGACTACGAAGGTTCTTCAATAAAGCTGTAGGATTTGGGATGAATTCAGGGTTTCGATCACCCTTGCCTATATAGCAATATCTCTCTGATCCACATAGTAGTAAATCATAAGTTTATTTGATGAAGCACAGAATTGTGTTATGGTTCAAATGCCATTTGCTCTGATTACATCGGTAAAGATATTAAATTCAGTTTATCAATAGTAAATTTGTGTTTTTCAAAAGATAAGTTAAGGCCAGCCGATTGTTGTCCTAGAGTGGAGTTTGCTGTTTATGCATTTTAAATCCTGAAGCTTCCATTGCCTCACTTAATAATCGCTATTACCAAGAAAGTCTGTTACCTGCTGGCAGACAGAGAAAGTCAACATAGAACCATGCACACAGGTGTATCGGCTCAAGTCGCCACAATTCACAGTAGTATATAGAGAACAGGTATATAGGAAAAATGTGATGTTGAAGTAGACAAAGATGTGTGTAAGAACAAACAATTTGGAGATTACGGTTAGTGCATGCACTCAAGCTTAAGGTGTCAGGGAATAAATACATCTGCTCCATTGTGACCGACTTCCAACTAAGTCACTAAGAGTCCTTAACCAGTGATTCCTTTCATGTCGGAAACCACAACCAAGCAGTCTGCATCTCCCCATATAACTCAATACAACAGTCGGAGACTTCATCGACTGGTGCCAGGTCTTGGTCTGGTTAGTCACCTGCAGTAGGCAGGGTCTTTTGTTTTCATTTGTTTAAATTAATCAACGTTCATAACTGTTGCGGCAAATGCATATGAATTTTACTTTTAAGTATACTTTCCACTTATTCGTTCATTCCAGGATTTTTATCATTCTGGTAGTTCTGAAGTACAACAACCTGAAACTTTAAACGCTGAAAGGTTCTATTTCATTGTTTCTGTCATTTTTTGTTATTTATCTACACTATTTCTTCAAAGTTGTTTTTCAGCACCAATTCTAAACCCACTGTTTTTTTTTATCCCTTTACAACATCTCTTCCAACCTATTTAATTAGAAAACTGGAGGTTACAACCGAATATCGAACTGCAAGATAGAAACATTTAGTTTCAAACCCCAAACTGTTCATAAATCGTGGCTATGATTGCTAAGCCATTTTTTATCCTGAAAACTATAATTCCGAACATATTCTACACCATTGAACTTGTAATGAGAAGTAGAGGAATCTTCATTGCCTTAGTCCACTAAGTATCGTCTAATGACCCACTCTCCTGTGGTTAGTAGTTTCGAGACGGAGTTTGTTGTTCTCTTACCACTTGTTTTTCATTAGGAGGCAACTCTAGTAGGGTAGTGCTGGCGTATTCTCTCCCCTTTAGCAGAAGTTGCATTTGGTTTTTAAAAACCAATGCCATCTCTGTTGTGATAACTAACTGCTAATGAAGTGACGAGAATACTACGCGCCACTGCATTCTATCTTTCAGCCTCTGGAATTCTGAAAGCATCGATAGATGGGTCCAGGTCTATGAGTTTTGGTGTCTACATAACATTACTTGGGTATGTTGGGATAATAAATGATGCTATGTTGAGGCCAAGTGTAGATTGAAGGAGCTAGTGTAGTCGAAGTTGTGAACCCTAAGAACTCAGTAGGTTTGGATATATGCCAACCAGATCGAAAAATGACACCAATCTATGAAGCATACAAATGTACAGGCTGTCTGGTTGGAGTTTTTAGGAATAAGTGGTTTGTAGATCGTCAGTGCTATCACTTTAAATCGAATGCATTGCTATAAATGTACTCGCTTTTTACTGCTTTCCAAATTTCGAGCATTTGACCAACCCTCATATATTTATTGCATCTGCTGCCATCAGCTTTTTATTTACTTTACTGTTATTTTTTACCGATTACTTTCGCCTTTTATGTGTTGTGAATTGTGGCAAATGTGTTAAGGTTTCTGTTTATTTTTACCTGCGTAAAACTAATTCTACATTGAACATTTTATCAGTGCTGTAATATATGCGTCTCTGAAATGATGAGGTACACAGGAATTCAAGTTACGTATAGATTCACTAGATTTTGTTAACAATACAACTTGCTGATATATTTTATCTTTAAATCATGGGAGCTTCCAATAATGTGGACATTAAAGAGTTCTCAAAAATCATAAAGGATAAATGCGTTTAGATTCATACAACTTACTATTATGCATAATTCGGGCCAATTCTGTGCAAAATAACGCAACGTTACTGAAGGATACTGTCCACAGAGATTTCGAGAAACAAACCCGCTTACTATATTCATATCCACTTCAGATTGGTCATTACGATAGTACTTCTGACCATTGAGATCATGGGAAAGAAAAGCTCCGATTTGTGTTTCTGTAAATCTGGTATGTCTTTCCAAGTTTGATTCAATTTCTGTCGACAATGTACCCATACGTTATTATTCTCTCCCGATGGTGATTTGAACTAACTAGTAGTAGAGGTAATAAAATAACGCAGAATACCCTAATTATCGATCTTGCCATTATTAAAGTAATTTATCATGGATTACAATAAACGACAATGATGCCAGATGCTCCCAGTATTTTCATTGTAGTAGATGTGAGCATGTTAACACGAAAAATAACGTAAATATATGGTAACTTATTATTCTTCAAGACACAGAAATCATAGGAAATAAACCAATTTAATATGTGACTGGGGTTTTTTTGTCGACAGGTTTTTGATTGTAGCTGTATATTTTCGATTAGACGATGTTACCCTCCTCAGTAATTCCTAGACACTGACTCACCAAGGAAGTTAGTATAAGCTTATAAAGTTTGAAAAAAATCTTTAATAAGAAAGCAAAAAGCAAGAAAACAATGTATAATTATCGAATAAGAGACTAGTGAGTAGAAAACATGTTGAGATTTTTTATCATTCTAGGGATAGTTGCGAAGCGTTTTTTAAAATTTATTTTATAATTCATAATCCACAGTGGATGAGAAACACAACAAGGTTCTCTTTTTCGGTTGCTTTGGTGTCGATAGCTTAGTTAAAGTAATAGTAAATCGGGATTTTAAATTTCCGACCATATGATACATGGATCAAACTCTTCTTGCACGGGGAGTTCTGCGTTGTCTAATGTTTGAAAAAGATGATGAACATATAGAGTGTGTTAAGTTTGTGGATTAGAAATTGGAGTTTAAAAAAAAAATGGTGATTGAAGGTGAAATAGGAATTTGGATCGTGGTGGGGTTCGAACCAGTGACAACCAGGTTTCCAGTCCGATGCTCAACCAATTGAACTACGACACCAATCGTTTCTTGTTTCATTTATTTAAATGGCTTTAATTCATACTGTTAATGGTTTTAAATGTAGGTAATATGTGTATAAATCTAAGTGTATTTGACAACGTTTCTCATGGGATTCAGACCTGAGCTTCATCAGGGATGCAAATATAACTAAAATCGAATGTCAACTTTTCAGTTGGTGCACAACTTTTGTGAAAGTAGTCGGTCAGACTTTCAAAAGAATTCGTACAAATTATTTGCAACGTTAATGTTTTTATTTTGTATAAATACCTAATCGATACTCGAAGTATCACCATTCTCGAT